TCCCTACACCAATTCGACGAACACTTTGGCCACCATTGAACTGGATAGTCATAAATAGCTTTTATGCAGCTCTTACTCTTGCCATCTTGAAACTAAAAGAAGGTGGCAGTCACAGTCAGAACAGCTGGCTCAATAGGATTCTCAAACCTAGTATGAGTGCTTACTCTGAGGAATTACAACCAAGACCACATTTGTGTTTCTGGATGTATTTCAAGCCCAGCCAGTGTCCTCCAACTATTTAAATTCGTACTGAGGATCCACTGCAGTAGTCATGCACTGATCTCTTGGGGACTAGCAATGCAAGAATCTTTCTCTCTAACCTTCACTAGGACTAAGAAGTAGATATGGTTGCTCTCCTAGAATAGAGATGTTATCTTGTTTCATAGGAATATGGTTAACTGCTTTCTTCTGAAACAGGATCTCTTCAGGGAAAGGATTAACCCACCATTTCTCCTTCCTCTTTACTAGGTCAGCAATAATTTCTGTGTATCTTCTAAAATAACCTTTGTTTGTAGGGCTAATTAGTCCAGAGTCCTGCTCATGCCTTTCTGCCATTATAGGGCAGTTAAGGAAATGGGCCTTTTCCGGGTAAGATGCTTGGTATTCTTGCTTGGGGTATGTTGGGTGTTTTTTTGCTATAGATTTATTTAACATCAAGATGAATATGTAATCCCACTGTTAAACAAGCCATGCTTGTGAAAGGCAAGGTTATCTGGAGCTGTATAGCACAGACTGCTATATGCTGTTTTTTGATGTTGACTGTTCTGATGTGCTTTGACTTCCCTGCACCACTACACAACTTGCTAGTTTTCTGGAGACAGGGAGCGGGGATGAAAGAAAGGAAGATTCAGGGCTTGCGTATTCTGGAAATCTGATTTGCTCATTGCTGGCAAGCAGTTCAGGCACATCCAGTACAAGCCCTGTGTAACAGCTAGCACAAGTGTCATTAGCTGATCTGGGACAAGCTGTTTGCTCTGGCTCATGTATTTTAGCAAGCTGCCCAGGCCATAGGTAACTGGAATGACCTTTTCTATCTATGCTTGGCGTGTTCCTGAGTGTTGTGCAAATGTCATCTGTGCCCTCTAGCTGCACTTAACAATGTTTGTTAGGCCCTTGCTAGTAATGTTAAGAGTATTTTGTTTGTTTGTTTGTTTCTCCTGCAGGTTCCACAGTCTTTGCAGAAATCCAAGGTGTTATTGATTCATGTATTAAGCTCTCAGGAATGCCAGATCTTTCTCTTTCTTTCATGGTAAATTTAGTATATATTTGGGAATTTTGATTGCTCAGGATTTATTTTTCTTAATGAGCAGAGTTAAACGATTTTAAGAGCACAATCACTACTTCATGTGTTACACTTACGAAAAATAATGTAACAAGTTTTGCATTACATATGGAGCTGCACTGCTCAGTAGCTGGAATGGCTTTTATCTGTACATAAAAATATGTTCACAGGAACTGCTGTACCAAGTCAGACCAGAAATCCATGTAGCTCAGTAACGTGTGTCACATAGCTAGGAATGATACTCAAGAGTCTAAGAACTGGGAATTGTGTAGAGTTCAGTAGCTAGTTCAAACTGCTGATACTTAATGAGATTTCACTTAGCACTTTGCCACTCCCTACAGAACCCACGGCTGCTGGATGACGTCAGCTTCCATCCCTGTATTCGTTTCAAACGCTGGGAGTCCGAGAGAGTCCTTTCATTTATTCCTCCCGATGGGAATTTCAGATTGATCTCCTACCGTGTCAGTTCACAGAAGTAGGTGACACACTGGTGTTCCTCAGATGCACCATCTACCACTTTCCATCTGAGTAACTGCAGATTTCTCCTTGTTACGGGGGGAATTTGCACTGTTGCTAAAACGCATGTTCTTAGGTTTTGTCTCGTCTGTTTCTCTGTCTCCACTAAACTAAGAGAACATTTTTTCTGTCAGCTGCTAGTACTCAGCAGTCATTTCTCAGTGGGATAAACCACGCATGACAGTAACACAGGGCTGTTCATTCCTGGTAGTCATTGTTGCTGCTAGATGCTTTGTGGCTGAGTCTCTGTATCTGTAGAGGACTCAGATCTTCATTAAAAAGGATAAAGCTAAGAAGTCTAAACTGCAGGTATTTGCAGACTAAGTCTGATTTGAGTGGTGGCTGTTCTGAGAATTGGCTCAGTGAGATTAATTTTAAAAAAATAAGAGATTAGGACAAGCGATTTGGAAGAAAATATTTTTTTCCTGTGATTTCTCTGCTAATAAAATTACTTCAGCAATGATGTTGAAGAGCTGGGTATCACTTTTCACTTTTGAAACAGACTGTTTATTAACTTGAATACCTGCCAGAAACAAAAGAACTACTTACGAGAAAGAGCTTTATTTTCTCGAGCAGAGAAGTAGCCAGGGTGATGCATTCAGCTACTGTCTTCTCTTTTCAGCTTGGTGGCAATTCCAGTGTATGTGAAACACATGATCAGTTTCAAGGAAAACAGTTCTTCAGGAAGATTTGATGTTACCATTGGACCAAAACAGAATATGGGGAAAACAGTCGAAGGAGTTGTCGTGACAGTTCACATGCCAAAGGCTGTACTTAATATGAACCTCACTGCTACACAAGGCAGCTATACGTTTGACCCAGTTACTAAAGTAAGTCTTAAGTTTTCATTTATTTAAATATCTACTGTGACGTTAGAACAAATCATACCTATTGCAGAGCACTGGAGGAGTGGTTGCACACTTTG